GGCAGGGAGGCTCTGACTGGTTTTCCTCCCCTGCTCCCAGCCAGGGACCATGATTGAATGGGGCAACAACTGGTAAGAGACTGGTTTTCCAGCACTGGTTTCCCAGCTTTTCCAAGGTGGGAAAAGGCCCCTCTGGAGCAGGGTGGACCCCTGGGCAGCCCCCCCAGTGTGTCCTGCTCCGTGCCAGGGCTCGGGCCATCAAGTACCGGCAGGAGAACCAGGAGGCAGTCGGGGGGTTCTTCTCCCAGATCGGGGAGCTCTACGTGGTCCATCACCTCTGGGGTAAGGGGGGACACCTGGGGGGTGGGGGACGGGCTGGGGGGCTCAGAGTGCCAGTGCCACCCTGTCCCTGCAGCCTACAAGGATCTGCAGTCCCGGGAGGAGACGAGGAACGCAGCCTGGAGGAAGAGGGGCTGGGATGAGAACGTGTATTACACGGGTCAGTGGGACCCCCACCCTGCTCTGGGGACCCCAACCCTGCACGTGCTGGAGACCCCCACCTTGCTTTGGGGACCCCCTTTCCCTGCTGGGCACCCCCACCCAGCTTGGGACCCCTTGCCCGTGCTGGAGACCCCACTGAGCTTTGGGGACCCCCTGCCCTTGCTGGGAACCCCACCTTGCTTTGGGGACCCCAACCCTGCTTTGGGGACCTCCTGCCTGCTTTGGGGACACCCACCCTGCTGTGGAGACCCCACCCTACTCTGGGGACCCCCACCCTGTTCTGGGGACCCCCTGCCCTCATCTCTCTCCTGTTTACCTCCCCAGTCCCACTGATCCGGACCATGGAATCCCGGATAATGATCCCGCTGAAGATCTCCCCCCTGCAGTGACGGGGGGGCCGTGCCTGGGGGTCTCCCTGCACCCCGAGGGGCTCCCTGTCTGCGCCCCCACCCTGCTGGGGAAGGGCTGGGGGGGCTCTGCACCCCCTCAGCTCCCTGCTGTCCCCCCCTCCCTGTTTTGGGGTGCCCTGTGGGGGCTGAGAGCAGGGAGGGGACAGTGGGGGCCCCCCATCCTGTGGTGGGTGCCCAGGATGGCACTGCCAGGGGGGCTGGGCAGGCTGCAGAGGCGGGGGGGGGCTTAATTGCCCCTGGTGGGCCCAGTGGGTGCCTTTGCTGCCAATTAAATATTTAATATGCCAAAGCCTGGGCCCCTCTTGGGGTGGGGATGGGGGGTTGCTGGGAGTGCTGGGTCCCCCCTGGCATGGAGGGTGACCCCCAGCCTGGTCTCAGCCAGGGGGCTGCCCTGCCCTGTGCCAGACCCCCACCCGTGGGTGCCACGACACACTGTCATCCCCCCAAAGCCCCTGTGTGCCCCCAGTGCCACTGGGAACCCCATCCCACACCCATGGGTACTCCCAAGTGCTACTGGGAACCTCATCCCACACCCATGGGTACCCCCAGTGCCACTGGAGACCTCATTCCAAGCCCTCCCAAGCCCATGGGTACCCCCAGTGCCACTGGGGGCCCCCTCCTGTGCCCTTCCCAACCCCATGGATACTCCCCAGTGCCTCTGGGGGTCCCATCCCATGCTCCCCCAAGCCCATGGATGCATCCAGGACCCCTGGGAGCCCCATCCTACACCCACAGATACCTTCAGTGCCATCAGGGACCCCTTCCCATGCCCCCCCCAAGCTCCTGGATACCCCCAGTGTTATTGGGACCCCATCCCAAGCCCCAAACCCATGGATCCCCCCAGCACCACAGGGGACCCCATCCTGTGCCCCCCCAGCCCCATCAGGGATCCCATCCCAAGCCCGTGGATACCCCCAGTGTCTCTGGGGACCCCATCTCAAGCACCCCCCATATATACCCCCCTCCATCACTGGGGACCCCATCCTGTGCCCCCCCCAAGCCTATGGATACCCCCAGTGCCCCCCAAGTCCCTG